CTCTTTTTCCTTGAATAGAATTAAAAAGGCAGAAAATAAAACCCACATATCATACTTACAATTGAACAATCTAACAATTTGAAAAGCACGACATGTAATCTTAATAATTACCAAAGCAATTAAGGAACTTGCATTCTAGTAAAGGGAAGGGGACACTACAGAAATAGGACAAAATCATCAAATTTGTGAGTAAATCAGATTCACTTTTTTTTTTTACCCTCCTGTCCACATGGAAAAGTGGTATTGAGTATGTTTACACTGAAAGATTCTTTGGAGTACCATTTCGGAAAGAGGACTGAGTGAAACTCATGTAAAGAACTGCCATACATGCAAGGCATCTGGCCCCACTTACACACTAGTATCATCAACATGCAGCTGCTAAAGCAGAGACCACTCAGGAAACCAGTAGCTGGGAAGACCTCTCTAGACAACACGTGGTTTAAAAATTCCCATAATACATAAACCGGATATGAATAGCTTATGAAACACAACCGATCTTTTCAACATACACATAGCTTCTGGCCTTGAATTACCATGCACTTAGCATGCAACCTGAAAACTGAACTGTCATTAATATCTTAACAAGTGGTCTTAACAAGAACACAGGGATAAGCAAGTGAGAGACCAAGCATCTGCTATTTTTCTTTGTCAACACCCTCTCCAATGATGTCACACAGAATACTATACTATTTATCTCTCTCTAACCCGCTAAGACTGACTCTGAATTTGGAGCTCCAATTGCCTTCCCATCCCTGACTCCAGGGGTTCTGCTGTCACATGCCCGATGTTGACATGCTGGCCTGCCTACACAATTCATTACATACCTCTGTGCAACTGATACTGAATGCAAAATATTGAGTAAGAAACCATGTATGGAGCCTGCCATATATCTGTGCTACCTCTTTAGAGCACAGAACTGCACACATATACACAAACATACGTGCGCTTGTGTGTGTGTCACGACCTAAGAACCTGATAGAATATAAAGGTGACGACACTATACACATTTTTCACCTGTCAACACAGAAGGGCTAAAGAACCAAGCTAAGCTGATTCATATTATTCAAAATCACTCCCCATTATTCTGTCAGTTTAAGAGGTCACTCTACTCTCTTCAGTTTATTACTACCAAATTTTGCATAAATGAGAGTATGGGCTATAAGTGTAAGTCAGGACTCAGCTGCATTTGTAGAATGGCATTAACTGCTGATTTTGCTGTATAGTTCTGCCAGGCCCCATGACTTTTTATTCCTTCTTTTGATTCTATACTTAATATTACTAGACCACTGGTGATAACTGTGGCTAAACACTATGACTGCACAGAGCAGTTGATACTGACCTCTACTACTACAGTCGTCAGTGGATTTTAGACAAGATAGAGTTCAGAGTTGGACACAACACATTTGGACCAGCGATCCACACTGGCAGGAAAAAAAACAGTCACATACTGAACTACCCATCTGCCCAACTGCTGCTTTGCAGCTGTGTAAGCATCTTCTGTAATGACCACTCAGGTCCTCGTATCTGTGATGATTTGGTAAGGGACACGTTGTGCATTCCTGGTCTTCTCCCTTTACCAGCATACACCTTGTATGGAAAATCTCACTAGAGCAGCACACAAAATCAGTACCTTTATTTTAAAATGGAAAACACTCCCCAATTTGTTTTTTCAAATGGTTCATTGCCTTTTATCTTAACCTATGTCAAGGTCTCAAAGCCAAGTGGCATTTTCTACAACTTGTTTTTGACAACTACAAACATTCTATGTCAGAAGAAAACAAGAGAAGTACATATGGATATGTAAGTGGCAACATACTAATTTACAGTTATGATTAAAAATGCAAACCGTAACCATGCTAAGTTTCATGAATATATTTAGAGACTACTTTTACTGGCTACAATAAACATTTACTATTCTATTTCTATTAGAGTAAGAATATAATTACAGCACTAGATCAGACTATAAAACCATTTAGCCTAGCATCCTGACTTCCAAGAGTGAATCAGGTGCTTAGGGTATCATCTTCATCTGCTCAGTGCTGATGAGACTGTATCTGGCCTCAGTGTCCAGTTTTGAGCCCTCCACCTCAAGAAGGATGTGGAAAACACAGAGAGAGTAACATAGTTTTTAAAATGGAACATACTGATTTCCAAAATCAGATCTATCCCTTATTTACAGCTGCTTTGGAAAAAACATCTTCAGAATATTCAGTTCTTAGTAGCTTTATTTGCACAATTGTAACTGTCACTACGTACCAGAATGATATAGGTCAGAAACAGATTCCTGATTTAAGTTCATGAAAATATTATCAACAAAACTTTCATTATTTTCCTTTCCAGTTTGCAATATGGGATGTTACTAGGAAGATCAGAAACAACTTAATCTAACTTTTTAACAAAGATTAATCATAGAATATCTTGAGTTGGAAGGGACCCATAAGGATCATTGAGTTCAACTCCCTGCTGCTCACAGGACTACCTAACACTGCCTCAGTATGACTAAGAGCATGGTCCAGACTCTCCTTGAACTCTGGCGGGCTTGGTGCCACGACCACTTCCCTGGAGAGCTTGTTCCAGTCATCGATCACACTCTCAATGAAGAACTTTTTCCTCATGTCCAATCTGAACTTCCCCTGACGCAGCT